TGTAAGTTATGAATATATGTTACTACTATTATGAATAGAAATGCCACCTTGTACATTGCATGGTTATGTAATATTAAAATGTATTAATTTCATCTTTGCATACATTTTAAATTATGGTAATTGGGGAAATATGGAAAATAAACTTAGTTTCCCCCTAATCAGCGTGTATGATGGAGTATTATCATGAAGTTCAGGCACTAAATCAGTATTATGTCCAATATTTGCATGAGAAGTACTGTCTGGGATATAATAGTTGTTTGTATGATGGCGACAAACCATAACCTTTGAATTGACAGGCTATATTGAAGGATTTAAGAACTGGCTTAGTTTTTCCTACAACCGAGGACACCATAGCATGTCCACTGCATGTCTGACATAAACAAGTTATCAAGACTTTTTGTGTATTGGTATCTCTCTTTGTTGGCAGTGTTTTTTAATTTCACATATCTGAAAGTTCACAAAGTGATAAAAAAAATCTTTATTCACAGTTGTTTTGTATGTACATCCTTTACTTTCATTTGATGCTGTTTCATTAGCGACATCAAAGATTAAAGATCTAACAGACACTACATCAAAGAAAAGACAGAGTTGCATGTCCCGCTTTTCTAGTGTCTTTGGTAACATGTAATGCTGTGCCATGAATACATTTTTTTTTTTTTAAAACATGGTACAACTATTACAACCTTGCCTATTGAGAATCTATATTAACAGTACACAATCTTTTCAAGGCATGGCAAAATTAAGTATAAAAGTTCTGGAACAATACCTAAACGTGTTGTGCTAAAAAGGATAACAATACTGTGTATTCATGCACTTTGTTATTCTCAATGTCCCTTATAGAATATTATAACATGGAAGTTTCTGCAAAATACTAGCTAATGTGTTCCTCAATTAATACTACATGTATGAAATAGTGCAGTAATATATAGAACAATTAAATACTAGCAAAGCGGGAAACCTGCACTGTAATGTTCACTTTATTTATACTTATTCTAATTGAAGATGATAAGATAGATCAGCTTTTTGCAACAAGAAGAATATTTTAAGTGAAATTTAAATGATATCTTGAAAAATATACATAGAACACATATAAATATCATATCTAAAGAAAGAAATTAGGTAAAAACTGTATTGTAACCACAAGAAAAAGTTTTACGACCGAGTCATGGGCAGACATTTCGCCTTGTATACCTTGACCTTCATCTACTGTGATACGAACAAGTAAAGCATTGCAATCATTTGATCATTATAGAATACACGTTGAAGTTGCATTTTTGCAAACTTGGTTTCACTTTAAAATGTCCATAAACAAATTTGATGAGGGTGAGATCTTGTGGGAACCACACCACATAGGACCAGATTTCACGCTCTCCCATCAGTTATCTATGAAAAAAAAAAGGAAATGTATAAAATACTAGACAGATGCCTCGAACCGATGAACTATTTTTAAGGTCTCCACAACATCAACTAGTCAGCATTTGACTATCAATTTGATTGTTTTGGTGAAAATGCTGCCAATGTAAACATTACATTAAAATCATTTGGAAATTGTGTGCAGCATACAAACTGATCTATACATGTATAAAAGATCACAGAGATAGCTTTGATTTTTTGAGTTACAGTATTTATGTATACCATTTATACCATATCATTTATGTATATACGATATACAGTAAATTTATACAGCAGGATGCCAGACATGTATTTCTTTCAGTTGAATATAAATCAAAATAATTTACTAGACATTCAGTTAATTTCTCTCTAGCAGAGTATACTCTACTGTTGATATGTGGAGGAACAAACTTACTGTGTATTTGTCCCATTTCTTTTCTGGATCATAGGGTTCCCATCTACTTGCTGGAAATATGTGTTTATTCCTTTCATACCAGCTTCTTAACACCACTTTACCAGCATGGGACTGCAAACAAAGGAATACATAAATTCTTTACTGACCATTAGAACTTAAAATAAGGTAAAGCATTTAAATTTAAACATGAATTTGTATTTCTCTTATGTGAGTGTCGGCAACATGGATACGACCACCATTAGTGGCATTACTCCTCTTGGTGATGTAATATTCAGAAAGTGAAAGTAAATAAATATTTTTCTATGAACACACATAGTGTGTCTAAACCAGGTCTTGAAAGCGGGAGGGTTGTCACCTGCGCACATGCAGGAGGTGAGTCCCAAGTGACGATAACAATAGACTCTAAAAATGCAAAGGCTTATGGGCAGGCGCTTGTTTGTAAACAATGACATGCTATGGCCATCTGATGCATGCGCAGGTGACGACTCACCCGCTTTAAATCAATGATGTGCATACCTCATCCTTTTCTATTGTAGCATCGTTAACTAGTCTAACATCATCATGAGCATCAAAATTAAACAGTGGACCTGTAACATACATATAGAAATAAATATGTTGGATAAATTATACATATTCAGACCATTAAATATTTTAAAATAATGCTAAGACCCCATGCCAAATGAAGCCCATTATGTATACTCACCGCTTTTACCCCTGGCTTTTGTAACGATGAAATCATAAAAACTGTAATGCTGTAACCGGAAAAAAAATACCAGTGAGAAACCAATTCTGAAGACAACCCTTTCAAATCTATGGCATCGAATTCAATACATGATGAATGAATAAGTAAGTGATAGATACAATAGACCCATTGCTTTACACCTCCACATCCAATAGCACATTTACTTACGTGTGGAATTATTAGATCTTCTTTTACGTACATTAGATTTTCAACAGTAGATGATCTGGTAATATAAATCAGAATGACATTTTCACACATCTATTGCACCATTGGTCATGTGATAAAGTATTGTAGTCTGTAATTGATAGCAGTCTTACGTACACTTAAGGCGAGCGTCAAAATAAACTGATTTACAAAAAACTGTTATCTCCCTATCAATGTCCTTTGGAACATTGCAATATCCGCAGCAAATTTGCTAGCAATATTTGTTTTGGCTTTATTTCCAATGGTTAAAAGGTAATCAATTATTTGCTTGTTGAAAGTTTTATTATGTTTGAAGGGGGTGCTCAAATCTAAAATGAAGTTTGTGATCAAATAGTAATTCACATGTGGAACAACTTAGGGTTCACTTATTTTCATATTTCCCACAATTCTTTTGCACAAAATGTGACATTATTTTGAATTCAATTTATACTTCCCTATTTGTTGAAAAGGGATTTTGTCCAATCACATGTTTGAATCTGGGCGGTTTTCACTCTAGTTTGTAATATAAAAATGTCACCTGAGTCTAACAAATTTTCATGATCAACATAGATTTTGTTGAACTCAAATCTTGCAGATTTCTATGAAAACTTATTATTTTGTATATGATTTTCTTGTTGTTTGTAAATAAACACCCATGGTGAAAGTGATTGTATCCAGCAGTTTGAATTTAAGTGTTGAAGTCGTAACAAAACACAAGTGGCAATTTTGCCAGGGATATTCCAAGGGAGATTGGTAGGAAAATAGTGGTTTTGGTGGTCAGTTTATTTGGTACCTGGTGTAAAATACAAAATATTAATTTCATCACCCCATTCTCAATGACAATAGACAATCCTGCCTGCTCCATGGACAAGACATTCATACTGTTACCCCTTCATTTCAAACAAGTACACAAATTAAATTCAGATTTATGGTCCAGGGGTGATTTGTTAAATTACATACAATCATA